GTTATGCTGCAATAACAGACACAAAATCTCTTACTATAACAAAGGTTTATTTCTCATTCACGCTATGTCTTTTGCAGACCATTTGTGGACCTACTCTACAATATCCTAACCTGGGACCAGGCCGAAGGAGCCTCCCCTGCGTAGAATATTGCTGGTCTTGTAGGAGGGGGAAAAGAGAAAGTAGGAAGAATCACCCAATGGCTCCTCATAAATGCTATATTTAGAAGTGGCTCATGTCACTGTCAGTCCTTTGGCCAAAGCAAGTCTATGTCAGGCCTCAGGTCACTGCAGTAGAGATATGTAATCCTCATGTGGGGAAGGGCAGCAAATATTTTGAACAATAGTAGAATCCACCAAGGGTTTATTTTTCTCTCAAATAAAACAAATACAGAGGTTGACAGACCAGCACTTGTGTGGCAGGTTCACAATCATTAGGGCTGAGGTTCCTATCTTTCTGTGCTGTCATCCTTAGCATGCAACTTCCTTGCAAGATGGCTGCCAAGTGCCCCAGCCATCATCACCTGGTAAGAAGAAAAGAGAAGGAAGAGCAAAAGGCTCCAACTGTAAACTGAATTAGCCCCCTTTATACAGCCTTCCCAGAAATCCCACCCAATGGTGAGTTCTTCATCATTGGTCACCCCCAACTACAAGGAAGACTGGGAAATGTAGTAATTTAGCTGGGCATTTAACCACCCGGAAAACATTTTGAATTGATTTTAACTTTTTTTTTTTTTTAAAGAAGGACTTCTAGCAGCGTATGCCACTACATGATCTAGAAAGATGAGCAACGGGACTACACTATTCTGTAGAAAAGGAAGACACTGGCTGTCCACTTAAAGTAGATTTTTTTTTAATTTTTATTTTTTAAAAGATTTATTTATTTATTTGACAGAGGGAGCAAGAGAGCACAGGCAGGGGGAGCAGTAGAGGGAGAGGGAGAAGCAGGCTCCCCACTGAGCAGGGAGCCTGATCTGGGGCTTGATCCCAGGACCCTGGGATCATGACCTGAGCCAAAGGCAGACGCTTAACTGACTGAGCCACCCAGGTGCCCCTAAAGTAGATTTTTAGATTGCCCATTATAAAAGTGTTGCTATCCAGAGGAACAAAGGAGAATAAGAAAAAGACCAAGTGAGAAAGAGGGTTTTCATGATACTTTCCTCCTTTGCCCCTTGAACTGCCCTGATCCATTTGAGGACCCTTCGCATTTAAGGTACCATCCCAGATTTCTCACACAACACGAAAGCATTCACTGGCCAGAACATGGCCCCACCTACACAAAGGAACCTGGTGTTCTTTCAGCACAGCACATGCTGACCTCAACTAAAGTTGGAGTTTTGTTAGTAAGGAAGAAGAAAAGGAGGTGTGGAGTAGTCACTTGTCAGTCTCTGCCAAGGAGGAGGGGGTGGGGAGTGCTGCTGCAAGAGATTTCTTGTGTGTGTCCAGGCAGAATGGGGTTGATGGGAGGATTTGGATCCCAAACAGGCGAAAAGGACTGTGGCAGCCAGAGTTCCTGGCTGGGTGCCCTGGGGTTCTGCTCTTTGGGTGCCACAGCTCAGATTCTGAGTCAGCCCCTCTGTTCTCTTTCACCAGCTGCAGCCCCACCCGCCCTGTCCGTCGGCCCTTTGGCTGGGAAGTCTTGCTCCCATGCCCATCTCTGTTCATCCTGCCCACCTCCTTTCTAATGTGTCTTTTCCAGTTTCTTTATGTAATACAAGCAAATCTGAAAACGTGTTCTAATTTCCCCCTTTATCACTGTATTGGTTTCCTGTGGATACTGAAACAAATTTGATGGCTTAAAACAGCAGAAATTATCCTCTCACAGTTCTGGAGACCAGAAGTGCAAGTCAGTTTTACTGGGCCAGAATCAAGGTGTTGGCAGGGTTGCCCTCCCAGTGAGGCTGGCTGTAGGAGAGAATCTGTTTCTTGCCTCTTCCGATTTCTGGTGGCCACGTCACTCCAATCTCTGCCTTTGTGGTCACATCACCTTCTCCTCTTTCATCTGTCATAATATCCGCTCGGCCATCCTCTTACAAGGACCCTTGCGATTGCATGTTGGGCCCAAATGAACGATCTAGGATGACTTCCTCATCTCAGGATCCTTAACTTAATCACATCTTTTGTCGTGCAGCGTAGTAGTCACGGGTTCCAGGGATTAGAACATGGATATCTTTTGGGGGCTGTTACCGAGCCTGACACAATTACTAAAAGCAGATATGCTCTGTTTAGAACTTTGCTTTTTTCATGGAATGTATGTGCCTGAAAATAGCATGTCAGTGCATAGAGTGCCTCCACATTCTGTTTTAGGGCTGTGTGGTATTCCTTTGTGTGTTTGTGCCTGAATTTGTTACCTTGACTCCTATAGATGGTGGTGTCCCCCACTCTCTATCACCCCTGACTCTGCCCTTTTAACAAAGAGAGAGAGGGCCTCGGAGCCCTCAGCAGATGAAGGTATCCAGCTATATTTCTGGTCAACGTCTGTTCATGGAATTGATACTGGTCTTCCATTTTCAGTTGTGGTATAAAGTTTCTCTTTGAGGTATCTTTGTTTCATTTTTAAAGTTGGTCAATTTTAAGAAAAATATTAAGTAATGTGACAGATATGGAAGGTATTGCGCAGGTGGAATGTGAATGACTGACTATTTAGTTATCTAATGCCAAATAACAAACTATCTCAAAATTTAACTGCTTAAAATAAACAATTAATGTGTCACAGGTGCCGACAGTCGCCACAGGACAGACTGGCCAGAACTCAATTATGTGGCCACCCCTGGCTGCATATGAAGCTGGAAAATGAGATCTTCATCTTGGACAGTCTTGAGTCTCAGATGATTCCCACCCACTCCCACAGGGAAAGCTTTTATTTAGTTCATTTTTTAAGCTTTAATTTTTTAATTTGTATTTTTAATTGTAAAATACATATAAAATCTACCATCTTGGCCATTTTTGAATATACAGCTCAGTAATATTAAGGATATTCTCATTATTTTGCAATCTTTAGAACTTTGTCATCTTGCAAAACTGAAACTCTATACCTGTTGAACAACAGATCCCAATTTCCTACTCCCCCCAATCTCTGGAAACCACTGTTCTATTTCTTTTTCTATGAATTTGACTACTCTAGATACCTCATATATTTTGTGTGTGTGACTGGCTTATTTCACTTACCATAATGTCCTCAAGGCTCACCATATTATAGCATGTGTCAGAATTTCCTTTTTAGGGGCACCTGGGTGACTCAGTCGTTAAGTGTCTGCCTTCGACTCAGGTCATGGTCCCAGGGTCCTGGGATCGAGCCCCGCATCAGGAAGCCTGCTTCTCCCTCTCCCATTCCCCCTGCTGGTGTTCCCTCTTTCGCTGTGTCTCTCTCTGTCAAATAAAATCTTAAAAAAAAAAAAGAATTTCCTTTTTAAGAATAATATTCTGTTATATGCATATACCACATTTTCTTTATCCATTCATCCATTGATGGATATTGGGTTTCTTCTAGCTTTTGGCAATTGTGAATAATGCTGTTATGAACATGAGCGTGCAAATATCTCTTCGAGACCCCACTTAACGATACTTTTAGGTATATACCTAGAAGTAGAATTGCTGGATCATATGGTAATTCTATTTTTACTTTTTTTGAGGAGGTACCATACTGTTTTCCATAGTGGCTGCACCATATTACATTCCCACCAGCAGTGCACAGGATTCCAGTTTCTGCACATCCTCACCAACACTTGTTTTAATTTTTATTTTTTAAAAAGATTTATTTATTTATTTGAGAGAGAGAGGGCGCACACACACAAGTGCAAACGGGCAGGAGAGGGAGAGAGAAACTTTTAGCAGACTCCTCACTGAGCTCAGAACCCAACGTGGGGCTTGATTTCATGACCCTGAGATCATGACCTGAGCAGAAACCAAGAGCCAGACACTTAACTGACTGCGCCACCCAGGAGCCCCTCAGTTTTTATTATTATTTTTTAAGATTTTATTTATTTGAGAGAGAGAGAGTGCGTGAGCACGAGCAGGGGTGGAGAGGGTGAGGAACAAGCAGACTCCCTGCTGAGTATGGAGCCCAATCCCAGGACCCGGAGATCATAACCTGACCTGAAGATGCTTAACCGATTGAGTCACCCAGGCACCCCCCCCCGTTTTGATTCTTTTATAGTATCCATTCTAATGGTTATGAGGTGATATCTGATGGTTTTGAGTTACATTTCCCTAATGATTAGTGATATTGAGCATCTTTTCATATGCTTGTTGCCCATCTGTATATCTTCTTTGGAGAAATACCTGTTCAAGTCTTTTGCCCATTTTTAATGGGGTTAATTTTTGTTGTTGAGTTGTTTAAAAACCTTTTAACAGGTGTTTTCAAGCATACACAAAAAATAGAGTTATATGAATGGATTCTCATGCATCTGTCACTTAGATTCACCAGTTGTCAACATTTTGCTGATCTTTTCCATCTTCCCCCACCCACTTACACCTTTAATGCATGATTTTAAAGTAAATCCCAGATGTTACTTCTTTTACCTGTAAATATTTCAGAATGTTTTTCCAACAGATGACTATTTTAGAAGCATAAACCAATGCAATTATCATACCTAGCAAAATTAATTTCTTACAACTATCCAATACCCCATTCGTGTTCAATTTTCCCCAACTGTGTTAAAATGTCTTTTTATGGAATGATTGTCGCACACGAGGTCCACAACCTGCAATTGGATGTTTCTTAAATCTCTTTTAATCTATCACCCCACCCCACCCCCACCCGCATGAATGTGGACACATTCTAGATTTGTCCAGTTTCATAAACTCTCAGGCTCATGTGGAGGAACAGATTGTGGGGGAGGGCAGAGTGGCCACGGGTGGGGAGATCAGGAAGGAGGCTGCTGCAAAAGTCCAGCCAGGAGAGGATGAAGGCTGGACGGGAGGGGCAGCAGAGGTGGGAGGGGTGGGCTGATGTTGGGTGTTTAAAAGGTGGAGCTGAAGTAGGGGATGCGGTTTGGTGGTAGAGAGAGCCTGGGAAGGAGGCAGGGCCAGCTTCTGGCCTGGGGAGACCGAGGTTTGGAGCCCAGGGGTCTCTGGGTGTACATATCCTCAGAGAGGGCTGGGACTGCACCTGATATTGCTGACCCCGCAACCCCACGGTCCCTGGCAGGTTCCCACTGAACCTGCTCAGGGTCATGGGATCAGGGACTGGCTGCGGCACATGGGCCATGAGGACTGGGTGCCCAGCTGCCGCCAGCACCTGTGCAGTGAGCACTTCACACCATCCTGCTTCCAGTGGCGCCGGGCTGTGCGCTACCTGCGGCCTTGATGCAGTGCTGTCCATTTTCTCCCCGGCACCCCCTGCTAAGGTGAGCAAAAGGAGGTCCCACTGCTGGAGTCTGACCCTCAGTCTTCCTCACCTGGAAATAATCCGTGGAGTCTGATCCCCAGCCCTCCTCTCCTGAGGGAAGTCCCTCCTGCGGTCTGATCCCCAGCCCTCCCCTCCTGAGGGAAGTTCCTCCTTGAGGTCTGGCCTTATCTGAGGGCAGTACCCCTCGGAGTCTGGCCCTGATGCCCCCGCGCCCGCCCCCCCCCATCCCATGCCTTGTCTTCCAGAGGCAGCAGAGTTCCCGAAGCACTGAGAAGCCAGGCGTGCCTCCCTCCCCACCGGAGGCCACGCCCCTATCCCCAGGGCCAGCTGCGTGGCCCCTGGCCCCTTGCACCTCGTGGTACTGGGGTCAGCATCCGGAGGCCCTGAGGCCACGACCGCCGTGTTCCTGACCCCCCTGCCCCCTGCTCCTGCCGGGCCACAGCCTGGAGTCCGGGCCCAGCACCCCCTGGCCAGGCTGGGCACAGTCCTGGGAGCGCTGCAGCGGCGGGTGCGGAGACTGCAGCGGCGCCAGGAGCAGCCCCAGGGGCAGCTGCGGGCTGTGGAACAGCTGGGGCAGCAGGTGTGCAAGGAGGGCCTGCCACCTAGGGGCACCGGGGCCTGCCGTGCCTGGTGAGTGGGGCCACCTGGCCCCCATAGCATATGTATTTTCTTTTCTTTTTTTTTTTTTTTTAAAGATTTTATTTATTTTTTGAGAGAGAGACAGCGAGAGCGGGAATACAAGCAGGGGGAGTGGGAGAGGGAGAAGCAGGCTTCCCGCTGAG